CTCAAAACCAAATCCATGGGAAGACAATTGAAGTACAAAAAGATTCCCAATACTGAAAGTACACTATAGAACCAGCATGAGAGATCTCAGATAGCTATTGCAGGAAGGCATCTGATGGGGTCATTTGCCATTAATTATCATTTGCCATTAATTATCATATGAAACTAATTGCTATGGTCAAATGCAGTCTTCATCAGAAAATGCTGCTTTTTACATCAAAATAACGCCACACATTGTGCAGTGGTGACAGAGATGCTCATGTCATGTGCATTCCATTGTAGACTTTTCCACAGTAATGCACGCAGAAGTGGATTGTACCTGACACACAGAAGGATGTTTAAATCCTGCTGTATGCACAGCGTTTCTGTGACTCATACGCAGCTGCTTTATGTTTCTATCAGGGCTATCTTTCCCAATTCTGTAATTCAAATTTTGCAGGTATTTTTTCAATCCTTCATCCTTCTGAAATGCTTTGGAAGGATAAGAGTTTAAAGTAATAAAAATGCATATGTTATAATTGTGTACTGCTGGAATAGCAAAAAGTGAGCATTGGCATTATTGCTGAGAGTGGAAAGAAGTGCTGTCCAAACAGAGAATAGTCTCTGAGAACCTAGTACTTCGCTCACCAGCAGTGAATTGACTGTGAATGCCCTGTCCATAACAGTGGCTCACAACACAGCTTAAAGTTTGCAGCACTTAAAAACCCTTCTTTAAGGTTCAAAGTCTAATGCTAGAAATCTTAACTATCTTTGGGTTTTCGTTTTTGTAAGATAAGCTTTTAGAATGCCTTCTGAGCTTCATTGTTGCTGTACACAGCCAAGATTAGATTGTTACTGAAATACTTGAAGGTTAGTTAGATGCTTGTACTGAAAAAATACAGTTTGGAAGGGACTTCAAAAAAATCTGATTAATAAATGCAGACTTGCATCTTCTTTATACTTTTATCAGGTTCTAAGTGGGGTCAGTCCAGCTGTCTTTGGTTTGCTTTTGTGTCCTTTTCCACATTTAATACATTAGCTGAGATACGTTTGATTCGCTGCAAGATTTTGTTCAGCAAAATACACTATTGTGTAAATGCTAGTAATAAGTTGTTCAGCAGAGAGCAGCTTCTCTTCATCTGTGACTCAGTAGAGATAGTAAGGAGTAATCGACTTTATATTATTTAACAGCTGCTTCTTTGGAAGGTATTGTAGAAAATGAACTCGCAAATATTGTCATGTTTTTTGTGAAATGGAATGATAGAGAACATCAGCTGTGTCTGAAGAGTTTTGGATAGCTATGTTTTTCAACAGAGGATATCCTGTGGAAGCTAGCAGGACTTTTACAGAAGACATGCAAAAACTGCACTTTTCCCCCCTGACGCTTCTAATCAGCCTCAGGTACTTCTGTCAAGTGAAAGAAAGTTAGGAGTTGCTGAGTGCTCTCAGTTTGGATTGTCTTCTGTGATGCCCAGAGTGTTCAGCATTTTGCATAAACAAGTGGCTGGATTTTGGTAATGTAAGTGCCATGCAACATCTGCAAGACTGTAGGGGTTGGTTCTTGTACAGAGAAGTACCTGGTGATTTTGGTTAGAGGATCACTCTTGAACTGTGCTTCAGCTTCTTCAGAGGAATAAATATGTAACCAATTTATAATTCTATAAGAAAGCAAATAAACACAACTTCTAACTTAGCTTCTTTTTTTGTTTGTTTTTACAGTAATAAAAAACACAAGAATGAAAACTGCGATAGAGAAGTGACCATGGTTAACGAAGAGCACTTTCTGCACTCCTGATTTGCTGAGCCTTGTAGACGGAGTAATAATCAGTTGAACTTGTTCTAAGAATTGTTAGGATCTTTGAATTATAGAAAGGATGGGTAGACTTGGCGAAAGTGACATGAAACATTCCACACTCTACTATCATCTGCTCTTGCTTGCTGAACTGTGAAGACCTGTGTGTTTGAGCTGCTTTCTACTATCTTGCCAATCAATTTTTTTGGACTTGAAAGTAATATTTTCTTATTGGCTCTCTAGTGATTTCATTTGCATGCATCTTGTAATTATGCAAACAAAATATATTATCTGCTTTACCTATTAAAAATAAGCACAGTGGTGAATAAAATTAATTTTTGCATATTTTCACCCTTCAGTTCTAATCGCTTAGATCCACAGAAGTGGAAATTGGAATTGATGGGAGGGTTAAGGTAAGCCTCTGCACATGGGATATGAAAATAAGCCTTTAAAGACATTTTCACTGTCGGTGAAAAGAAAAAATGTTATTTATAACAAGGCCTTATGTTGTGTATATATATTGTCTTCGAAGTATTTTTGATTTTAGTTTATTTCTTGTAAGAGAGAAATTACATAATTTATTTAGTAAATACTACTGTAAACTATAGTTTTATTGATGAATAAAGTATTTTGTTCTCAAGACTATCCCAGCTGTCAGTGTGCTCCTGTTCTGGTATGTCTCATGGACTTGAGAGGCATCTCAAGAGGTGCGTCAACCAGTCTGTAAGATGCCATCTGAACTTACCTTCTGCCAGCTCTTTAATGAAGGGGGGAATCTTAAAGTTGCACAGCAAAGGGAAAGGAAAAAGCAAAGGGCGTAACAGTGCCTCAAGTGCTTCATAACAACGTGTCAAGTTTTTCTCTATGAGCAATTGTTTCAAGACAAATTCAGATACTGTTCTGGTTCCCTTAATTTCCCTTGCAGCTGAGAGACAATCACAAGCACAAGTTACAAGTTAAAAGACTTCTTACCTTGATACAACAGTGTTTAAAAACAAACAAACAAAAAGAAAAAGCTATGTACCTGCCGCTTTGAAAGTTTACGGAAGTTACAGAGAGTAGTAGCTATTCTAGGAGTAAGTGCAGGTAAACCTGCTGCACTGCCAAGCCAGAATTTGGCACTTTAATTCCTAACGTTCCGCTTTGTATCCCTGAAGAATTTTGCACTGGTACATTTTGCACTGATCTAATCCAGTAACATTAACAAGGAGGAGGTTATTTCTCCTTATGCACAGAAAAGAGAAAAGTAACGATGGACTGATGTCTTTTTCATCAGAGCCTCTTTATTAACCTAGAGTCTGTGTTTCCTGATTACCCCTTTTCCATGCTTTGAAATTGGATTGCTCAGTCTCAGCAAGGTAATGATCTTGTGTCATTCCTCACAGAAATGCTAGGGACAAATCTGCATGCCCTAAGGGGAAAAAAATTTGTAGATTAGAAGTGTCTTTTCAATCATGCATAGTGTGTAGTATATTTAAAGTGTGGACATATGCAAAGTAGATAATTATCATTAGTTTTACTGGGAGTAAAATAAAAAGGTTTTCAGCACTAGGTTAACCTCCAGAAAGCAAATATTTGTCACATTTTCCCCAACGTTCCCAGTAGTGTCCCAATCATCTGTCTGTGAGAAGACTCCAGAGGACACCAAATTTAATGCAGCCATTCTGTCTGAAACCACTATGTCTATAATAAATGATTCAGAGAATGAACCACCCTTAGTGTACAGTGTCCTTAACATTTTCTTGTAAATGGAAACAGTCATCGAGCACTTGAAAAAGGAAATCCTTACAGACTATGGAGCGCACTGAGAAACCTTCACTAAAGCACACACAATTGCAGTTCTTTCTTAATAGTCATTCCCAGTTTAAAAACAAAACAAAAACATCAACAACAAACAACTAGTACTTCACTTTCTAGCCCTAAAACACTGCAGCTTGAGAATACAAATTCCGGACCCAAAACGTGTTTTCTTGTTGACTTTCTTTACGCACGGGTAACTTCATTTAACTCAGTACTACTTGTCCAGTCCTGAACGACAGGCGGTGATAACGAGCAGCTGGTAGTGCACCGCCTTTTCTACACGTAGGCTGTTCGCTGACCCCTCTGCGGTGATGCATGCATTTGCTTGCAAAAGGACATCAGCTCTGCCCACAGTGAGGGCACAAGAGCTGGTCTCACAGCTGCTTTGCACCTGGAGCTGCTGGGCAGTTACTGCAAGCCAGCTTAAGTGCTGACACCAAAGTGCTGGGATGTGAACATTAAGGAACAAAAATCAAGACTAAAGCCATAATAAAAGCATGCCAAAATTGCCCTCTTCTTGCCCCTTGTGTGAACACTGTTGACATTTTCTTGGCAGTTTTGATACATGAGACTGCTAATAATGAAGAAAGTGCTCCATCTACACTAATTCATGATTCATGACCTATCAAAGCACTGGAACTGGCACAAATCACTGGAATTACATGGGAACTGCCAGAAACACCTATCTGAAGATGCTGTATAGGAACAACAGTGTGAACAAGAGCTACCTTTTCCTTAAATCAAATGTCACACGTAAAACAAACAATCTGCCGTTCTTCCTTCTGCTTTGCTCACCGATGCATGAAAAAGAAGCGGCTTTATGAGTGTATTATTGGATCTGATGAAAGTTTTTCCCTATCAGCTTTACCTCAGTATTTAGACTACTGCAGCTGTGAAAATATCACTGTTTTTCTTCCAGAGGTGTTAAGCACGTGGGATCCGTCCTCAAGGAACAAGAGAGCATCTCTTCATGTACCAGTCCAGCAGGGGAATGCAGCGAGCACACAGATCCACACAGCCCCATCTCCTGGGAAGATCTGAATTTGTTTTTGTTCCCACACAAAACGCGCTCTTTTATAAACTTTCACATCAGAACTAGCTCTTATCTCTCGCCTCTCCAGCTATGCTCACCGCTCTGTCCGCGTCGCCTTTATCTTTTCCGTTTATCCCCCTCAGCGCACTGCCAGTGCCCGCCACACACCTGCCGCTTGGGGGCGCTCCGCAGCTCGGACCGCCCCGCTCGTTCGTTACCCGCGCCGGGGGCGCCGCACGGCGGGAGTCGGCTTCCCGCGCTCTGCCCGGGCCGCCCGCTGCGCTCAAATCCCAGCCGCGGCACCCGGCTCCGCGCTGCTCTTCGGCGCCGGCGGAGGGCGGTAGCGGCCGCGCGGCGCCGGCTCCTCCCCGGTCTCTTCCGCAGCGAGAGGGGCGGCATGTGGAGGCCGGGGGCGGCCGCTGCCTTGCGTGCGGCGCGGTGGGCGGCGGCGGCGGCGGCGGCGCGGCGGAGGAGCGGTGGCCCCGGGGACGGCCCGAGGGCGGGGGCAGCCGCTGCTGTCCGCGGCCGGGCGGTGAGTGCGAGCGGGAGGGAGCGGTCTGCGCCCAGGGCGGGAGGGGGCGAGCCGGCGGCGCCGGGGCGGGTGGGGTGCTGCCGGTCCCGGGGCGGGGAGGGCGCGGCGTCGGGCTGGGCGCTTCCTCAGCCCCTGCGGTCACCACCGCGAGGGGCCGGCCGAGGCCTCGCCGGGCCCGCCCCTCCGCTAGGCCGGGGCTGCCGGCAGCCTCCGACGGCACCGAGTGCGGCCGCGTCGGGAGTGCGAACAGCGGTGAAAGCCGCGGCCTCGTGGCCTGACGCTGCGGGCCGGCGTGGCGCCGTGCCTTTTGACCCCGGCAGTGTCGAAAACGCGGAGGTGTCGGTGTGTATTTGATCGGCGTCAGGAGTTGCGGCCGCATGGCGCGGGTCTGTGCTCCGTGCTGGAGAGAACCGAACCGAGCAGAGTAATTCTGTGTTAGAGGAAGAGGAAATAGTTCTTCTCTTTCCTGGTTCGCCACTGTGTGACTTCGATTGTAACAGATGAGAGTGCCCCAGTCTGCCTGGGCAGTGGAGGATTCTCTCTGTGTTATTCCGCTCTGCAATATAAAATATGAATGTTTAATGTGGAGACAAAGGCTGCAAGGAACCGTTTGGTTGTGTGACCGATGTACAGTTCGTGGTCTTCACGTTCCATCTTTTAATTCCCTTTAACTTATTTTCAGCAGCAATTACAATATGCTTCAGAGGTGAGGAGCAGTACTGTTCACTTCATGAATTTAAGAAGTACAGGAACTCTGAATGACAAAAGGTAAATCTCGTTCTTAGGATATTCTGGGAATACTTCTGTTCATATGAATATACATTCGTCTTTGAACAGCTGGTAGGGCTGTCAAAATTAATGTAACGTACAACACAGCTGTGAACAGGAACAGTGTAGTTCTAGGGAGAATCATTTGGTGTGAGTGGGAAATAACTCGTGCCTAAACACGGGCAACTCACCATTTCTCACAGAATCATAGAATTGGTCAGGCTGGAAAAGACCTTAAAAATCACCGAGTCCAACCACAACCTAACTTTCTACCCTAACAACTCTCCTCTAAATCATGTCCCTGATCACCACATCAGTTTTTAAACACATCCAGGGATGGTGACTCAACCACCTCCCCAGGGAGCCTATTCCAGTGCTTAACAACCCTTTCTGTAAACAAGTGTTTCCTGATATCCAACCCAAACTTACCCTGATGCAACTTGAGGCCATTTCCCCTCATCCTGTCTCTGGTGAGAAATAACATACATTGGGGAAATGTGGAATTGCTGACGTGCAGTGGCAGGGCATGATGTGATGCTTGCGAGAGACCTCTTCTCATGCTGTGCAGCAGTTGAAGGCCCAGGGAATGCTGCTAGGCACCTGGAACAGTGCCTGAGTCCCCACCTGATCCTAAAGCCCTCAGTTCTCCACATCTGTAGGTGTTCCTGGGGCATCCATGACTCAAGTGGTGTGCAGCGTTTTTTGGCAACTGTCTTACAAGAAACTTAAAAAAGAACAAAACATTCCAGTCAGTTGGAAGATACTGAGTCACCTATTCAGTTCATTGTAACAGCTGTTTTGCCGCACCCATTAGCAAAATACGTGGTTTCACCCAGTTGTCTGTTGCTAGAGATACCCACCTACACACTCGGTTAAAAATGACTGCTACGGATAGGAGAGTGTAGGTGACTAGATTACATTTACTTAATTAAAATTATTTAGACTTTGTTCTCACTTCTTTAGTTGCTTAAAGATGATAACAGAAGCTGTCTCACAAGTGTTGTAAACCTTAATTATGGGCTATAGATGTGCTTTGAGTCTCTCTGAAGGAGGTAATTGTAAAAGGATTAGTTCATGTGCACGTTGTAGATGATGTCCCACTCCTGGATTGCATTGCTGATCCCTGTTGAGAAATCTAATGCTGCATGTAGTGATAGCATTTGACATTGATGTTTCTAAAGCTCTGCTTGTAGCTGTATTTTTTTCCTTATTGTCAAATGGTGTATATGCTTCAACAGGAGGTGCTGGAATCTATTTGTGGGGCCTCAAACAGTGCTTCTTGCACGGCATTTTCATAAGAAACTTAGCATAGTTAAGTCTGGGTCTGTCTCCTTAATACTCAGGGGCCATGATATCTATAAAACAACACAGTTTTATAGACATAGTACACAATCTTTAATTAGAGGTCTATACTGCTCAAGTACTAAAACTCCACCTCCACATGTAAGGTGCATTGTAACCTCCATTACCATAAGGAGGATGATTATTTGTGTCCTTAGACGTAGTGCTAACCGTGAAACAATATTGATATTTTCACTGTGATAAACACAGTAATAAAATACCACCTTCCATGTTTTCCCTCCCTCCTGACTATGTGACTGTGTGTTATTTGTAGCTCTTTAGATGAGACCACTTATGAAAAACTGGCTGAAGAAACACTGGAATCCTTGGCAGATTTCTTTGAGGACCTCACAGATAAGCCTTTTACCCCAGAAGATTATGATGTCTCTTTAGGGGTATGTTTTAAAGGTTTTGTTAACTGTTCTAATTCCAGTAGACTTTTTTTTTTTTTTTTTTTTTTTTTTTTTTACTTCGGAAGAGAATTTTGCACTAGTCACCTTAGTACCAGCACTTAAAATGTCTTATTTATTTATTTACAGCTTTACTGCTAAAAAATATGCCTTTTGCTAAGAAGTAGCTTGTGGTCCGTATAATTTGAGGATTTAAAGAAAGTTTATTCTGTTAAAAAAAAAAAAAAGTCATGGGCTCATCTACTATTCTATACTAAGAGGAGAAGAAAACTGATTTCTAGTTCTTTCTATATTTCTCCAAACTCACGCTGACCTCAGACATCATCAGCATCATCAGTCAGTTCACTCAAGGTAAATGCTAGGGTGGACCTACATGGCGCAGTGCATGTGCATCACTGTATGTTACTGGTGGAGCAGTTTATGTGATCGCTCTGAGTACTGAGAGGGAATGCTGGTCTCCACCAGGCATTACATCGTGCGTTTGATGTGGCTGTGCTGGAGAAGAGCAACAGAGGATGCTACATTGCAGTAGGTAGCTGCAAAAATGAGAAGCGAGTCTGCCACAGTGGGAAGGCTGCAGTCCGATGGGAGGCAGGGTAGCTGTTAGCCTGACAGTTGGAGTCTTTAGTAGGTCACCCTCTCAAATTCTTTGGCAGAGGTGACAGGCTGATTAGAAATGCCACTGTGTTTCTTTAAGGAGTTTGTCAGTTTTATATAGAAGTCCTGAAATGGGCTGTATCTTGCAGCTTCTACGTGACTTGGAGGAGACCGTGTTTCTCCCTGCACTGACAGCTGCAGCACAGGTCTTCCTTTCAACATGTTTCATCTGTTTTGCAAAATTGCTGCAGTCAGTTCATATCTTACCACTCAGAGATTGCTGACCACAAGCCCCATCAGTCAGGGTTCAGTGCTCAGGATATCGGGCCATGTGATTTGGGTTGCGCTGTGCTAAACAAACAGATCAACCCTGGAGTTTGTTTCTCTGTAACCATGTCATCCTAATGTTCACTGTTCATTTTGCATAGGTAGGGTAGAAATACTGTTAGTTGGATACCACTGATGCACTTAGCAAGTATTATTTGTTGGTTTAATCAAATGTGCAATGTTACGGCTAATTACTTTTCTGGTGAATAGCTTAACCATTATTATTCAGCATGTTTTGGTGTATCAGACAAAAATGAGCAAAAAAATTATCGTCAACCTCTTCAGTATTTTTAAACACTTCGTTACATGAGAATCGTGTCATCTGTCTGCCCTAGTTTTATCTTCAGGCACAGAAGAGTGCTTTGTGCTTGACATTCTCTCCCTGTGAGGTTGGACAGAATTATTTGTACATCCATCCTAATTTTTAATAAGTAATCTTTCGTAGTATAGGCTCTGTGATGATGTATCATCTTAGAAGACTCAGTTAAGTCTATCGAGGATTGTTTCACACAAGCAAGACCAGTACTGTAGCGTGCCACGAGGTGGCAAGCATGAGAAGGGTCGTCTGGCACCTGTGAGTTCTTAGGAACTTCAGTTCCTCACGCAGTTTGTAACTTTGAATCCAGGCAGGGGGAGGGGAGAGTCTCATGAATAGGTACCTTTTTCCAGGAGGTCACAAACGTTCGTACAGTAGCACAAAACACATGCAAGAGTATTGAAACAATTCAAATTTATTGTATTTTAAGTTCCTAAAAGCTCAACTTGTGTCTTCTGGTGTTTCAAAAGTATTACAAAATACATGATTCAAAGTTTTAAAACCAGCAATAAAAGCTGACTTTTATTTAATTTGCAATGACGGAGCACTCTCCAACAGCTGACACTATAAGCACTGGTGAAAAAATGTTAATTCCTCACAAACCGATTTGCTTACAAATAGGTTTGTGTGTTTGTAGTACACAGCTTAATATCATCCTGAATACATAATATATGGCACTAAGGAGCCCACAGAAGAATGCTGAGATGATTGTAGCCATATTCAGGGCTAATTATCCCCATGTGCTCTTGTTCTGCTCTATCTCTACAGATCTAAGACTGTTGAGGTATGGAAAACATTGAGGTCATGATGACCAGAGAAGTCACCTACTCTTGTACTTCTCAAACAATTTCCAGTTAATATAACTGACTGGGCAACCTGATGGCTGCAGTAACCAGTCATGCCTTTATGTATATATTATTGCTCACGCCTGTAGGGGTATCATCAAGCACAAGAAGAGCACGAGGATTGGAATAAAGAATTCAGACCTTGAGAATATTATTTCACTGCTGATAATTCCCAAGATATGTCAGAGATTAGGAACATTTAATTACTCTATAGGAGAAGAAAGCACTAAGCTGCTGCATGCTACAAAGTAAGATGGGAGGGCATTAGGTAGTTGAAAATAATAGGTAATTATTTATACATTGGTAGTAGCATTAGAAGTAAGAGTAGCTCTAGTAGTACATTCTAAGGTGTAAAACATATAGATCCATTAGATAAGCTTTTTTGTGCTGGAAGCTGTGAAGTATTTGAAAAACTATACATTAAATGCGACCACATTTTCTACCCAAATCATCAAATTACAGTCTGTAAAGGTTGAATTTTTGACCAACATAAATTCAGATCACTTGTCAGTTAATTTGTGTCAAAATATTGTGGGTTTTTTTTTGTTTCAAGTTAGAGCATGAACATTTTTGTTGTCTCCTCTTCTGCATATTCTTGTGAGAATGTCAAAAAGATTAATCATGTTGTCACTTAGAAATGTGCATGAGAGGGAGACCAGAAATTCTTGCTGGGATCATGGCCTAACACTGGTACACCTGAAAGAAAACAGGCCTTCTGGAGTTCAAAAGGGGAACATTTTTAAGGTGTGATTCAGGATCTAGGCACTTCATCAGAATTATTGCAGTGAAGAGTTGTGTTTATTCTCTTGGGAACTGTTGCAGTTAAAAAAAAAAAAAAAGTAAAATTGGGAGTCTTGGGAATTCAGTCTCTACACAGAGAGATCCTTGACTCTGAAACACACCAGCTCATGCATAGAAAACGTTGGTTTTGAGTTGTGCTTCAGGCTTTCTAAAACAAACTACCAGCTATTCCAAGATCACAGGTCAGGGCTCGGATGTATTCTCTGAGCAGTGCTATTGTGAGTGGTACAAACACTAAATAAAACTAACCAGAAGGTTTGAAGTTTAGGTCAGGCTCAAAAATATTCAGGTTGTCTTAAATATTAGCACGTGTTGTTTATTCATAACTTTAATTCTTCCAGGCTATTGTTACCTGGACAATATTTGGGAGTGTAGCGCAGATGTGCGAGTTTCTGTTCATTTACTGCAATTATGTATTTCTTGTCAAGTAACAGGTTACAAATTTAAATTTCTGTTTATTTTCTTTGTGATTCAAGAGTGGAGTTTTAACAGTTAAATTAGGTGGAGACATGGGAACATATGTAATCAATAAGCAAACACCTAACCGGCAGATTTGGCTGTCCTCTCCCACAAGGTGAGTTACGTGTGAGGTATGTCACACCTGAAAATGGGGTGGAAATGTACTTCCCCTTTTTCTTAGCATTGAATGGATTGGATTATCTAATGCCACAAATAGCCCCGTTCCTTAACGTATGCTCTAAATATGGTTTAATCTAAATGTTTGTTAAGAATTTGTTAGTGAGGTTTGTGGCATGGCGTAGTATGCTGATATGCCTAAATTAATCGAGGAGATGTGTAACAGAGTTTTCATGTGCTGCTCCAGTCTGAAACCAATGTCTGCAAGGGTATAACCTACTAAAAGGGTGAAAAAAAGAAAACAATAATAAAAAAAACCCAACCACAACAACAACAACAAAAACCAAGCCAGGCATGGTTAAAAAAAGCACAGAAAAGCTCTGTTGGAAAGGGAGAGATGGTGATGTTATAATCTAAACTGCTCTTTGTATTTAGACAGGGTGGCTCCTTCCCTTTTAAGCTTGTAGGATTTCCTGCTTTATGTGCTCTCCTACTAGTTGTTTTTGTCAAGCTTCTGCACTTTGTGGGAGTCTTGGCTAGCTGTTCCTCTGCCTTCTCTAATGCTCTGTTTTGATCCATTTAGTTTTTCTAGCTGGTTTCAACAGGGAGGGCAGCCAGATATGTGGAGAAGATATTATAGCTGACTCCCTTTCCAAAAAAGAAGTGTTCTCTGCCACCATTCTTCACAGAGCACACAGGGAGTCAGTGGCTGTCACTGGTGAAAGAACCAGCTAGCTGGAAACTGTGAGCATGCCCAGTAGCTATGCAGGCACATTTCTTGAAGGCTGTTTGTCCAGAGTGTATTAATTGCAAAGCTGGGAATAGTTTTGCAGTAGTTGAATTCTGTAGAAGGTTTGTGTAAGACAAAAAAGAAAAAAAATAAATCAGATTTCAAGAGAAACAATCTTAATAGAAGTGAAATTTGCCTAAAGAAAATTCTAACTGCTGTATTAAACTTAGGTACTGCTTGGTGCACAGCTTATTTTGTGAGTCATCTTCCTCTACTAACAACTCCTCTCCAATCCCAGAATGCTTTGTTGTTTTTTCTTTTTAATTTAATAACTTTAAATAACTTACCAACAAGTATGTGACTTTTTAAGGTACTGGCCTAACAAGCTTATTCTTTTGACAGATGCAGACTGTGTGTCACCATTCATTCATTCATTTCATGTATTTAGCACAAAACAAAATTCCTGGGCTTGGATTCTGCTTCTGGTTTTTGTGTCGCTGACACAAAGTTTTCATCTGCTTACAGAAGCCAGAATTCAGAGGTTTGTTACCTATCTGGAGCCAAATCTCAGCTAAGACATCCAAGCACTGGAATGTGGAATTTGTGAGCACATGCCGGAGTTCTAGCATTTTTAATTGATCTGTTAGTGAGAAAAAGGGAGAAACCTGAAAATTCTTGCCGTTTTTTCAGCATTATGAAGAATGATTCATCAACAAGTGTTCCTTTTTGTGCTTCCTTAACTGATAGTAGTGAAATTTCCTTGAGTATTGTTCATTATGTTGTTATCGTGTGTCAGTACACCCAAGTGAACTTGTTTTTCTTGAGCCTAATTTTGTTGACAAGTTGAGAAGTGAAAAAGTGTGTGTGCAATCTGGCAGCAGTGCAACTGCAGTAATTTGATGCAACTCCTTTGACTGGAAAGATTTTTGAACCTTACACAGCACCTTTTAAGGTGATACTGTACCTCTTATTCTTTAAAAATGTATGCAGGCTTTGTGTGAGAATGTAACATTTAGCCCTTGTAAGCATTTGTAGAGCTCACAAGATTCTTGCTTAAATTATAAGTGTGTAAATGAAAACATTGTATTTGTACAGTATTTTGGGGATTCAGAGAACTGTGGCAGTGTTTCACTGCTAGTTCTTATTACTAATACTTAGCAAGTAACATCTCTGGGTGTAAGACAGTACAAACACATGATAATGCTGCAAAGACAAAGAAGATCCCCATTCACATGCAGCAAGTGAGATAGCAGTGGAAGTCATTATTTCTTATAGCTTGGTTAGTGGTTTAAAAACTCATTTAAATACTGTGAATACTTCAGGGTATTTGAGGTTCAGATTAGTTTTGGTGTGTGTGTGTGTGTGCGTGTGTGTGTGTGTGTGTGTTTGAAGAGAAACCGCAGGTTGTTCCTGTGTGTTTATAGGACAGTCTGCCATCTAGCAGACCTGTGTGCAGGTTGTCTGAGTTCTAAGTCACTTTGTCCTATCTATGAGCTCAAGTCCAGGCATAAGAGTGATGGTTCACCTATTTATCCCTGCTGAACATTTTGTTTCCTTCTGTTGTTTTTTTTTATAGCTTCTGTAGCTGTTGCTAGAGGTAGTGAGCACCTTTCAACCATTGCTCCTGTTTCAGATGTGGAGAGTTAAGTGGCTACAAAAGTCTGTAATGGAACCCAGGTGTTCTGGTTCTTACTTTCTTGACACTTAATGCAAGAATGAAGAATCAAGCCAACAACTTTATAGTAGTAGAAGGAAGAACAGATTTTTAATGCAGAACTCCCACATGGCAGTACATATTTGCATTCAGATGGTAAATTGCATCCAGAAAGTGAGTGAGAATGGTGATAAGTGTTATGCTGTCTTATCTGCATATAACTGTGCTAAAGCAACTAATCAACAGCATTAATTGAGCCTCACACAAGCATCCCTTAATGATAGTTGTGTATGAGGTAATTATGTGGGTGATGGAGGAAGTGGGGGAAACTAGTGCCAATAGCAAGAAGGACAGGAGCTTGTGTCGGCTTGGAGTAACTGGTACGTCTTGCCACCTTTCACACAAGTCTCTCAGATGGCGCAGCAGTTCCTGGCAGCTCTGGCCTTTCCTGCTTTGCTTCGTCACACAGCCTGCACATCTGTCTTCACAGTCTTTCTGGGCACTTTCTGGGTTACATTATAAATGCATGCCTCCAGCATTTCCGTGTGAATAACCTGTACTCACAGCGTGTGTTTTGCTTTCCAGTGGGCCCAAGCGCTATGACTGGACTGGACGGAGTTGGGTATATTCTCATGATAGAGTGTCCCTTCATGAACTACTATCAAAAGAATTTTCAGCAGCACTAAAAACTAAATTGGATTTATCCTGCTTAATATATTCTGGGAAAGAAGATGCCTGATGATGTGCTACCTCATGCAAGTTTAAAGACTTTAACCACCAGCGCTTCCGTGGTTTCTGAGTACCTGAGCTTATTTCTGTTGGTTTTTTCTTGACACCACTATGTGCAAGAACATGAAGATAATATATTTTTTTCTCTAGTATTCAGTCTTTGAGTTTCTATGATGCAGCTTGAATGTGTATCCATGCAGTACAGGTAGATTAGATGTCCATTCATTGCCATCACTGCATTTTCTACTTTCTTACTGTTGAAATCAACTGCGGTCCTGTTTGGATGTAAGGGCTGGCGTCGGGTGACCTCTGCCCAGTGCACAGAAGCCATATTTTTTGGTGAGATATTAACCCTAAACAAGAAATGTCTGTGAATCACAATGATGTAAGTTACTGTACTGTGATGCATGGTATTAAAATTTGCAGCTATTGATAAGGTTTTAGTGTTAGTGCAAGTAAATAATGCAGGGGAGCCAAACTGAACATGTCGTACAGGAAATGACTGTGGCAGAGGAGAACTTTTAGTTTTGCAAGATGGATGTAATTTTTCTCTCAGTATTGCAGAACTTGCTCACTTCTCCAAGTTCTATATTCTTTGACGTCGGGATATTTTTCTGAACAAAATTACCTACAGGTCTGTGTGTTTGTAAGCATCGTGTGACTCAAAAAGGCTGGTGTGCAGTGTTCAAGCTGTGCAGCAAACTCTGCCAATACTTTATTCTCTTCCTGTGATTTTTTTTTTTCTTCCTGTTTCTACTCTTTGTAGAGCAGAAAGATGTAATTTATTGCCTGTATGTTAGTTGGTAAATGGAGATTGTGTCGTGCTAGCAAAAATTTGCACTGCTGCATTTCTTAAGTGGGTTTAGATTTTCACCACGATGCAACATGGAAGCAATTAAAAGCTTTTACACATTTTGAACCTCGAGAATGCTTTAACACTTGCAGTGTTGCATTATTGCCACTGACTGCTTTTAATTGCCTTTAAAATGGAAGCACAGTTGTTGACTAATTACTGTGATAACATAAAATATTTTTTCACTGTATTATAAGTATATGGTGTGAGATTTTTCAATGCAAGTTACTTTTCTTGCTCATTCTGACACTTCTGATTAGCTTGTCTGGATGCTTTTGGCTAGCTAGAATTTTACACATGCGGATAATTTCAGATAGCATCATTGCCCTGTACTTGCATTTGAAGTGTATGTTGTTCCAACTATTTCTCACCATGAATTAAATAGAAAGAACCATTTCCTTGGAACACGATCATGATTGAGTCTGCAGACTGTGATCATGTGAACTGTGCAAACTGTTACACAAACTTTGGTTTTTTAATCAAAATAAGAAAGGCCAGTATTATCTGAAATAAAAGCTGCAGAATGATTCGTAACTGGTATATAAGATTTTTATTTTTTTTTTCTCAAATGAAGGCTAAAACAGGACATCTTTGTGCTATTTGAAATTAAAATTTAAAAAATACAATGCATGGAAAGTGATGATATTCTGATCTGTCTCCTAGTAATTGAAAAAGCTATTTAGACAAACCTGGATAGATGCTCATTACCGAATACGAGAATTGGGGATGTTTCCTCCCGGTTCTTCCTTTGCCTGATCACATACAACTTGTCTAATTATTTTTTGACTTTTCAAAAAACTACTTTCCCAAGTAATTTGCATGCAGCTTACCCATCAGCGTGTATCTGATTCATATTTTGAGACATTCTCCATGCCCTCTCATCATCATAGAATCATAGAATCCTTTGAGCTGCCAGGGACCTTTAAAGGCCATTTAGTCCCACTCCCCTTCAGTGAACAGGGATGTGCACAGCTACATCACGTTGCCCGGAGTTTGATCCAGCCCCTCTTTGATAGTCTCCAGGGACGGAGCATCAACCACATCTCTAGGCAAGCTGTTCCAGTGCCCTCACTGTAAAAGACTTTTTCTGTATATCCAACCTGTATCTGCCCTCTTCAAGCTTGAAGCCATTTCCCCTTGTTCTGTCACAACTGACACCACTGAAGAGTCTATCTCCCTCATTCCTGTAGCTTCCCTTGAGATACTGAAAGGCCACTGCCAGGTCACCTTGGAACTCTCTCTTCTTATACACTTGCACCAAAATGAAGCTGCACGTAGAACTCATTGTGTTAAGGTGTTATTTCCATGTGTGATGATGAAGACCACAGTTATGCATATTATGCTGAATTATTAGTGTTTCTTAAAACGCTCGCTTTATTCAGGACTTGGCTAGCCAGGATGGCCTTTCTAAGAGCACTTCAGCTTTCATGTTTGAAATGCCTTCCCCTTCTCCTGTAGCACTACTGCTATTTATGCAAACTGTTTCCTGGTTTTATCTAGCTGAATAACAATGTGATTTAATCTAACTGGGAAAGATTAATAGCATCAGTGAGATAAAAGGAGGGATTCTTATCCATGTATACAAAGTGAATCATAGGACATGACTCATTTCTGCTCTAATACTGGTATGGCATTCTAAGTAAGGGCAAGGCCTTAAACAGCCATCGTGCCTGTGAATGGAGGCACAGGAATTCTTATCCTGATGTCAGACTTCTCATATTGCCCCAAGACAAAATAAGTCTTCTGTAGTATTTTTTTATTTCTGTAACTTACCTGTATTAACTGATTGCCCCACAGTTACAAACCTGATGTCGTGTCAATTGTTTCTTTCTTCATTTCTCTGAAAAGGAAGACCTGAAGGAAAATCCTCTGATACTCATTACAGTTAATAAGAATACTTGCGTTACTGGTGGCTTTTTCCCCACAAAACAGTTGCTCTGTCCTCAGTAGAGGAAAACATGTAAAATGCTTCTGAAAGGCAGATTTTGGTATCTGAAATTATACTGAATGCTCAGGAGAAAGGGAGGTGTGTTTGTTTTTTTCTTAAGGTGTATCAGAGTTTTCTTCAACAGCTAATCACCCTTTCTGCAGCTGGTGATAGTGTTTGCTCCTGTCCTACAGCCTGAACGTCTCAGCATTTCTAACCTTGCTAAAATCATTTCCTGTGTACCAGCAAGTCCTCTAGAAATCTGTATAGATTCAGGTAGTGGAGCTTAGCATAGCACAACTGCTTTCTATCTGTGATGGTTGTAACATGAGTTATGTGCCTAAATGCTTAGCTGACGTTTCTTGTTTGAGTCTCCTTTCTGCTTGTGGTAACTCTTAAGCAATGATATCTCCTGTCTGCAGGGTTGTTCCATACATTAACTCATCTTGTCTTGTTCTTTAACATTCCTGAAGTCCTTTAGCAGCTTGAGAAATTGGACATAGACATGTTCTGAAGAACTCGTAGGTGAGTAGGGGTTGGGGAATGGTGGGGCAGGGGGACAGCATGGAAATCCTGTGTAATTACTGTCAGCTTTGCATCATTGTACTAACCAGTGCTGGAACATGAGGGAGTCTGCAGGAGTGAGTTCTTGGAAGGAAGGCAGAGGCCTGCCAAAATACTTAAAAGAACATTGAAAATAAAGAAGGAAGCATGAGAGGGGTGGAAGACGATCAGAAAGAGATGCCCAGCGGTTGGTGTTGCTGGCAGGACACGGGGACTATGGGCAAGCTGTGTCTTGTGGCATTTGGGAATGGCATTTTAATTTCACTCTGCACACCACTATTCACATCAGTTTAACACTATTATTTTACAGTTTTACCTTATGGAACAGATGTTCCAGTCCCTGTTGCTTGTTGAGACTGTTCAACTCATTTAAAAATAAGAAAAGTTGTTTGGAGTTATGTCTCTCTCTATGCCAAACCGTCAATGTAAACTGTACTGTTGGCCGTCTTAAAATAAAGACAAGATTTGTGGAGATAGATGCTGCAGGCTGTTTCCCCGGGGGCAGAACGAACAGAGCTATGAACAAATACTTTTTTTTTTCAAACGGTAGTTTATTCCAGATCTCTTCTGGAGTTCAGGTTAAGCGATGACAGATAAAGTACATCAGGAAAGAACAGATTTGTTGGCATGAGCCAGCATACAGAGCTGCTGCTGTTCTCTCCAGTTTGCTCATTAAAAAAAACAAAAAACTATTCTTGTAATTATACCAGGTGATCAGTATTACAGTGAGTAATTCCATAAGCATTGTTTGCTTCCAGATGTAGTTTCTTGTATCAGCCACCTGTGTTCTCTGCTGTTCCTCTAAAAAGTAAAAGGGAGTATACAAGTCAGTAGCATTACTCCTCTTCAGAACATACCAGCACCGAGCATCATACAGCCAGCTTTGCCAAAGTACCTTCAGAACAGGAAAACGTTCTAAGAATGAACAAAGTTTTAAAATATTCATTAAGGAAAAAAGACACCCGGCATGGTGTAAACCAAATAATCTGGCGTGCCTGGGTATCACACCGCATTTCCACTCCTTAACGCCTCGATTCGGGCTGCTGTTGTGCTACTGATGGCAGAGCCTCTCAAGAGCTGACAGAAAACATCGAGTTGCTTAATTTGGCCCTTTTGCTCATTCGTTTTTTGCTGTTTAGAGCATTTAGAGAGCTGTGGTTGCTTAAAGACTGTGGTATGCACAGGCATGTTAATTATTAACAACAGCTACCATTGCCTTTTGAAAATAAATAACATTTGAATCCAGTCTCAACGTGCTGTCAATAATATGGGCTCTCTCTGCCTTCCCCCCCCCCCCCCCCGGCCTCCTTCCAAAGTCCAGCGCCTGGGCGAGTAGCAATGTTTGCCTTTCCTTATCTCGGTTTCTGCCTGAGGCTCCTTGTGCAAACAAACCTAGCGAGAAGGAAACGAGGTCTCAGCCAGTGCGGAATGCTCCGGGAATCCGGAATATTTAGCAAGAAACACCTGCCCTTGACAAAGGGCGAATGGCGCGGTGCCAGCGGGCTTCTGAGCCGGTTCTCTTTCCCAGATTAATTTTAGAGAAGCTCTCGTGGCTAGAGGAGATAAGGGATTCTCTGTAACACGCAGGAGAAACACGACTCCAAAGAATCTTGTTCGGGCTGTTTGGTTTCGCCTTCCCCCTCCTTTCGGCTGCAGGACGGCAGAAAGCTGATCCCGGCCGAAATTCCAGCCCGAAGCACCGGGGGGACGGGGCGGGACGGCGCTCGTGCTGCGCTGCACTGCCGTGCGCTGCGCTGCCCGCCCCGTCCCGTCCCCGCTGCCCCACCTCGGGGCGAGGCAGGCACCTGCCCCGGGAGCCCGCCCCGCTCTGCCCCCGCCCTCTACCCGGCAGGAAATCGCCCGACTCGGTGGCGCGGCGGGACAGGAGCGGCCGTAGCCGAGACCCGGCTATCTGCAGCCCGCTGCGGGCCGGCGGGACGCCTTCTGCGGGCAAGGCTCCGTCAGCAGGCGAGTAGCCGCGGGGGCAGGTGCGGCTCTGGTCCCCCTTTCCCCTCCCCTTCGTCGCCGGGAGCGGGGCGCGCACCTGGGGCGGGCGGGGAGAGGCTGGTCGCTAACAGGATTAGGCGGTTCTCGGTGACTTTTTCCGCGCTAAGTGCTTCTCGGGAGAGCGCGATACGACGTGGGAAGCGGCAGCGGCGCCTCGGATGAATCGGGGATTTTGTTTACCCGGTCTCGACCCCCTCCGCAGAGGCGGGACCCGGGAGGCGCCGAGCCGCGACGGCGGGGTTGGGGCCGCCTTTGTTTTAGGCGAAATTCCTCCGGTCTTTCTGTTGGCGCATCCTGAGCGGATTCCTGCCGTGCCTTGGGCTGTGGCTAACTGGGTCAGGGGAAGTTTCGAGTTAGCGGCGCCGTGAAACAAAGGAGCGGGCGGCTTCGGGAGCCGGCCCCGCGCATCGGGCCGGGGGCGGCGCTGCGTCTCGGTGCGTTGTGCTCGCGCCGTCCGCCGGAGCCTCCGGTGCCGGGTGGCCGCTCGCTGGCGTCCTGCCTCAGACCTGTTCCTTCTTTGTGTTCTTCCAGGGCGAAGGAGTACGTGCTGTTCGGGTGCGGAAGGATCATACCTAGAGATCTTTCACGCGGGTTATCTGAGAACCTTCGTTCCCCCGGTGCGTCTAACTATCGCTCCTCTGGAATTTCTGAGTAACTTCCTGCACTCGGGGAGCCGCTGGCGTTGGACGCGGCGGCTGGGCAGCGCGGGGGAAGGCCCGCAGCAGCGCTCCGGTAGGGGCCACCAAAGGGCTTCACTTTAACCTCTGGGCGCAGCCATCGAGGTGGCGTAGCGACACATTGAAATGGCTTTGCTTTTCTTTTATGTAACCGAGTTTTATTTTCGAGGTAGTTATTTAGGTCTGTGATTCAGAGGAAAATAAAAAGGAGCGGCCACGTGTGGTGCGGCTGGCGAAACTGAGGCGTTCCGAATCGAAGGCTCCAAGTGCGAGCTCCTCCAGCAGCAGCACCTGCCAGCTCCCACAGGGTGTGGGTGGCAAGGGGCTGTGCTAGCACAAGAAGTTTGTGTGTGCCTGTT